TGAAAACCAAATGGTTTGAAAATCGGGATTAAAATCAATAATTTTGATACTATTTCATTTTCTCTATAATAAAAAGCAAAACTGGTTAATTCAGTACTATTATTTTCAAAGGGACATTGAAAGATTAACATAACACTATGGAAAATAAAAGTAATGAATGTAGTTTTTATATGACTAGTTTTGGTTTTCATTCACATCATTAAGGAAGAGTCCAAATAATCTTACCTCACATTTATTAGCTAAACCATTAAAATTTGGCACTTTGGTTATGTACAATAATCTGGAACAAATAACTGCTAAAGTACCAAGTGTAAAGGAGCAGGAATAATTGTAGTGATATGAAAAAACACAAGCATGTGCAATGTTCAATATTATAAGATGAATCAAGCTAAAAGCTTGATACCAGCACATAAATAATTCAATAAATTGAAAAACCTTACAATGGACAGGTTTAATAAACCTACGTCAGGTTGATGGCTCATTTACACAACATTGCTGTTTTCTGTGGTAGTTCGAATTGTTAGAAAGTGCCTTATTAGCAAGTTCTAATGGGTTCGCACTTTAGTTTAATTGGTAGAGAATTTCCCCAATGAGCGAGAGCTGCCAGATTCAAATCCAAGCCAAATAAATTTGAAATTACTGCAATAAAAAAGCACTCACCTGGGTTCAATAATAAGACAAGGAAACTACCACAATAAAAACTGCTGCCAAACACGAGGCCAACTCAAGAAATGCTAAGATAAGGCTCTGATAATTGACAGAACAAGACCCACCCTCCCTTCTAAAAATATGAATATCCACATTGTGTCACAGACTCAAAGAAGGTCCTCATACTTGAAAACCTTTACAACACAATGTGCCACATAAGAAAATACCAACATTTATCTATTCCTACACAAAGACAACAGTAGCAGCCTGATGGATGGGAAAAAATCGTTTTCATTTATAACTGAAGATTGAATGAGCTTACATATAAAGATTTGGGTAAAATTTGCAAACTTTTAAAATTAATAAAACATTTAAGGACACTAAAAAGAATCTAAAAATTTTGTCCTTCAATTAAAGTATGTTGAGTTGATTAATTCTTCACACAAAAACAGTAATATGGATATATATAAAGAATACAACTTTTTATATGACTAAGAAAATATTTTTCAGCACCAACAAAATAAATTATTAAAAAAGAAAACTTACCAGTACATAGTGCCCTGAAGTTTTCACAAGTGATTGGACAAACATCAGAGAATAATTCAAAAATAATTCGTCCAGCTAGAAAAATAAAAGTTACATTTAAACAAATATTTCACTACTGACTAAAATTGTTTCATTAAATCAAAAAAAAGAAAGGAAAACATTTTACTGTACACAAGAAAAATTTGGTACTGATAATTCAAAAGGTCAACATATATAACTAATAGATCTTTATTTAGCACATTTTATCATCATACATAAACTTACAAATACTATTGGAACAAGGTTCTAATAACTTATGATTAAATGACAAATATTTTGGCAAACAATTTTGATTTACAATATGGAATTCCTACGTTTGTAGTTCTAACAAATTAATCTAAAATATTTAACTTTTATTTATCTAAAACAAAGAAAAATAAATAAACACATTAACAGTATTGTTAGGGCAATGCTACAGGATAGATGTGTAAATTTAATGAGTATCATAGTGTAACCAAACTCTTAGCAGTGTGAAAAACTTTTAAGCTTGTGATTTTGAATTAAAAAATATTGATAACATACTTTAACAAGTTTTTTTTTTTGCTGTAGTCTCTTGACATTATAAAAGTTAACACTAAGTTGACATATGTTTATACTATTTCTATACCCTCAAAACTATCTAAGAGAAGATAATAATAAAATGCAGACTTTGATAAGTTGTAGGATTTATTTTTAGAACCACAAACATACAATTTGAGGTATATTAATAAATATATTATTTACAATACAACTCTTCTATCTCTAATGCTAAATAATTTATATTAAGGCTAAATGGAGTGAAGATTGGTATGAAGAATATAAGCCTAACACTTTTCACAAGGCATACAGGAACATGAAAATAAATTATCTGTCCTTCAAGTTAAAAAATGTGTAACAGCAATACATATACATGTCCCCTCTATTCACAGTTTGTAAGAGAAGATCAATCCATTTAAATGAGACATGCCCAAATCCTTTGAAGATTAAAGAATGCCTATTTGGACTCGTAATTATTAAATATCAATCACACACCTATTAAAAATTATTTCAAAGTTTTACTAAAGGTTTTGTCACCCAAAGGTATTTCACCCCCAGTTCCTGAAATCCCTGTCATATATAATGACAACATTCTAGGTAAACTGGAATATACGAGAAAATGTAGAACATTGAAAAAAGTGAAATTACAAACTGGATATACATAGTTAAATACGATTAGAGTCCAAAACGGATCTTTCTGTTTCATACACTGCATTCAAATAGAAAATAATATATATATTTTTTGAATGGAGTTTGTAATGCTGATTTCAGAAATATAAATTAAAATTTGGAGAAATGAAAAGAATTACTTTTTATATATTTTTTAGTTTGCTAGGTTAGATAAAGTTAGACTAATTAGTAAGTAATTACATTTCTATATAAATAAAAAATCAATTTCATTAAAACAATTCTTTAAAAAATGAAAATATTTCCCCATTTCTTCCACTTTAAAAATCAATCCTCCAAATTTTAATTTATATTTCTGAAATCTGCAGCAAATTGAAAGTACCCGGAATGTGGTTAAGAAACATAACAAGCTACGTTGTGGATACAATCATAACATGATTGACTCATACCTCTGCAACTTAATCTGGCATTGTACACATGGAAATGATGATCTTTTGAAGCAAATATTTAAGATTTCTGGTTTCCCATTGAATTTGTTATATCGTTGCTAGATACTTTATATTGTCTTGATGTTTTACAATTCTTTTAAATACATAGGTATTTATGTAATGCTAAACGTACTTCCTTTGTTTCGTAAGCAAAATAAAAAAATATTTATTTTCATTTCTCCAAATTTTAATTTATATTTCTGAAATCAGCATTACAAACTACATTCAAAAATATATATTATTTTCTATTTGAACGAGGTGCATGAAACAGAAAAGATCCCCCAAAACTTTATGTATGTCTGATGGTTTAAAGCAAAGGTGGTATATATATATCAAGGCCCACAAGATTTTATTCACCACCCTCCATGTATTTGAAAGCCTATTGTTTTTTCCAGCTCATGAGTGCTCTTAAGAGCCAAGCAAATCATGCTAGATCAGCCATTGATATCCTCCCTAAGTATCCAATAAATTAAGCTGCTTTTTGCTTAGCATTACTACCACACACAATGTTAAAATAACCCAATCATACTTGCAAAGTGATGAAAACGTTTAGTTGAAGTAACTCTCCAGTACATTGAGCATTTCAATGTGTCTCATGAAAAGGGAAAAAGTTTGTCCATCCCCTCATTTAAAAAGATATAGGAAATATATACTGCTGTCAGCACATTTAGAACCACTAGTGTGAAAAAGGCAGATACAAAAAAATTACGAAGGTATAATAAAACTGTGGAAAAAATTTAGTTAGATGTTGCAGGCCCATTTAGCACAAGGGATTCACAGTTGGTGTTATATTATGAAAAATTAATTTATGAACTCACAACAGCACTGATAAAATAAAATTTTTATTCTTCAAGTTTCAAATTATTTTTCTTCTATTTAAATGCCATTTGTGCACATCTTTCAAATATTCACATGAACATAAGTGTATTGCACATGTAAAAGTTTCCAAACAAGACCTAGTATGAAAGCTACTTACCACTTTGTCCACCAATTTCTACATCAAAGAAACATCTAGGGCGATATTTTTTCTCTACAGTCATTTTTCTTTTATTCAAGAGCCAGCTTCAAAGTGTAAACTGAAATACAAGAAAAAGTTATGAATCATTTACACAGTCCTCTGGATTTCCTAGAAACAGGCATGTAAATTCAACTTTTTTTTTTAACCAATACTGCTTACCACATTGTCCACCAATTTCAATGTCAAAGAAGCATCTAAGGTAGTATTATAAATGTTATCATTAACTAGGCCTAACTTTATATTAAATAGGACCCTCACTTACCTAAAGCAAAGTAAGATACAAGCCTAACTGATTTACTGAAAATATGGTTGCAATTTAGGTAGGCTATACATCAAATATCACATTAATAGCTAGAGCTAAGGCTACAAACATTAAAATTTGAGGTAGTAGTGTACAGTAATAGTAGTTATGTACAATAAAAGTGATATACTATTAGAGCCTTCTATTAATTCAATTGGCCTTGTGCCCTCAGGTTGGTCAAAGTGTGAATGACATGACCTTTTACACAATAAACATTCAAAACTTAATTATTGTTTGTTTGTTTGTTTTTTGAATTTCGTGCAAAGCTACACGAGGGCTATCTGCACTAGCCATCCCTAATTTAGCAGTGTAAGACTAGAGGGAGGGCAGCTAGTCATCACCACCCACCGCCAACTCTTGGGCTACTCTTTTACCAACGAATAGTGGGACTGACCGTCACATTATAATGCCCCCACAGCTGAAAGGGCGAGCATGTTTGGTGTGACAGGGATTCGAACCCGCGACCCTCAGATTGCGAGTCGAGTGCCTTATCCACCTGGCCATGCCGGGCCGTAAACTTAATTAAATAAGTTTATCATCAATGTATTTAATAAATCTGGCATTAAAACATGGCTTATAATTCTAAGTTTTATTTTATCTAGGTTGTAATTCTTTAATTTCAAATAGAAATACTTAAATTCTCAATCTTCCCTTCTCTGTGTTATGTGACACATCTCCTCTCTGAATTCTCCTTTTTAAAGATAAGATTTTCTTTTGTCCCTTACATGGCTTTTAGTGTCCAACCAATTATGAACACAACTATAAATACTGACAGGTTGAAATAGAAAATGTGTACCTCCCACCTTTTCTATTTGTTGAGGTATAAATAAGTTTGTTAAACTCACAAATGAAGTTCCTCCCATTTTAACATAGCTAAGTTAAAAAGCCAGGTTGATTAGTTTGAGACATTCTATTCTAGTGTCCGATATATTTTGTGTGTTCTAAAATGCATATTTGAAAGTTACATGAATCTATATTTGGATAACCAAGTGACATAAAAAAAAGACTTTTTTGCTCCTTTGAGTGCAAATAAATAAAGGGCAAGCACTTCACATGTGAACTTGGCTAATTACTTACCTCTGTAGTTTACTGCTTTTGATAGAAAATGGTGGTTAAACATACCAGCAATAAAACAATGGAATTAAAAGAAAACACATGTGAAAAGATTAACAGCTGAAACTATGGAGATAAGAAGATGACCAATTTATCAAAATGGTTCACCATGGGAAAAAAAAAAGTACTACTCATTTGAGTTACTATTTTTAAACTTTTCACATTTCACCGTACATTGATGATTGTGTTACAGTTAGTGTTAGGGAAAATAATAGATAAAATATAAAGTTTTTCTGAAAACTTTTGATATATATATATATATATATATTTAGAAGGTTCTAGAGGTTATGCAAATGAAATACAAAAAGAAGTATTTTCATTCTAAGAAAGAAAATCACCTTTTACTCAGACTGACTCAGTTAAAGCTTTGTTTAATGCATAAACAATTCTCAAGTAAAAATACTTTATCAAAAAAATCTTGTAATGTTTACTAAAAGCTTGTCAAATTTCATGAAGGTACACTTTGTATACTTAGTTACATTTCATGCTTACATGATTGATCAAAATGTTTAAGCTCATGTATATATAGTTATTAAAATTTCTCATTGTATTATCAGAAAAATAATCAACCAATCAAAATTACAATTTCAGATTACTATTTTCAATTATTCTAAATATCCAAGTAATCAAAATAGTTATTATGTTTGATTTTAAGCACAAAGTTACATAATGAGCTATCTGTGTTGTGTCCAATTCTAAAGCCTTCGATGTTTTGTTTTGACTTTAAGTTTGTTCAGCTTTTGCGAGTCGAGGGTCTTAGGTTATATTCCATCCTGTCTTCGTTACAGCAAAGCTGTTAAGGCTCTCTGCCACTGTCACTAATTTTGAATTGTGAAAGCATTTGTAAGTTAAATTACATCTTTTTAAAAGCTACAGAAAGTTTCTTCAATGAGAAAACATCAGATAACTTGAGATAAGGTAGTGATCTTATACAGTTTAGAGACGTGGTGAATGGGTAAGAAAGAAAAAGTTATTAAAAATTTAACACAGTAACAAACATACAAGTTTGGAGAAGGTTTTGTCATTACTAGTTACAAGCAGTTTACTAAGATACAGAAATATATATATGCAGTATGAAACAAAGTCACATGACTGGAGGTTGCTCGAAGTTTATTAATATCCTGTTGATGTTTGGTTCTCTAAAATTTTGATGTTTTTACTTTTAAACAGATATAGTATGTTTTTATTGAGTTGCAATGTTTGTAAATGAGGTTCTTTTTATTGTTTACAAAAAAAAAATTGTCATCTATTCAGACAATTCTGCTGTTCAGTGAGTATGATGACTACATTTTTTTTTATTATTATTTTGTCTATCCTATTCAAACAACTTAAATAAACTGACTGCTTAATTATTTGTAATTTCAATCATAAAGTTTTAAATAAAAACATTATTACTTATTCCATTTACAAACTTCAGTGTGGGATTACTGCATACTTGGAAAAATATATAATGAAAATCTTCTGGTAGTATTTAATTGAACTAGCAATTCATTTGCTACGTAGGAAATGTCAATAAAACTTGTGGGAAAATATTTTTCTTTAGACAAAAATTATTTTTTTCCCCAAAAGTTGTAGGGGTGTGGTGTACTAATTGATTAATAAGCCCATTGATTAACTGATTAGCAAATACCATTAATCACCCAGCTCTAGTCATAACATGGTCAATTTTTGTCTTGATATGAAAACTGTAAATCGTAATCATATCTCATTGTATTCACAACCTATACAAGTTTCACCAAAATCTGGCAAATCCCAGATTTTTTTATCTCTGATCCTGGCCAATGAGAAGCCTCTGGTTGAGGGAAAGATCCTGTATTAACCTGACTGTCACAAAAATAATCAAAATTAGTGATTTTAATTATTACTAGTCATTCCAACTATTCAACTCTAGTGTGAAAATTACAGATTAGTTGAATAAGTTATTCCCATATGAGATGACTAAAAAACCTTGAATCATCAAAAAATGCATTTTGACACCCATGGTAGGCAGAGCACAGATAGCCTAGTGTGTAGCTCTGTATTTAGCAGTAAACATAACAGTAATATTTTGATTATATGAAGTAATGATAAAAATAATAATAATCAGAAACCATAACTTTGATAATTTACATAAGTTGTGGCACTACTCAACATTCCATATAGAAGCTCAGTCATTTTGATCGACCTTGCAACCACCAGGTAATGAAGAAAGTATACTTTTAATGAAGTATCTTCATGAAATTTGACAAATTTTTAGTAAACATTTCCAGTTCTTTTGTGCAAAAAAACAACAACAGATTTTTTATTATTTTTTCTTAAAGATTTGTCTATAAATTTATGAATTCTGAACATGACTCAGATTTTGACTAGTCTGAATGCAAGGTGATTTTCATATTAACATTAAAAATACCTTTTTTTCATCTTACAGATTTCATTTTCATTAGCATAACCTCTAGAATCTCCTAAATGAATAAGGTTTCTTTTTCTGCAAAACGTTGTATCTTATCTTTTATTTTCCCTACCCTAACACTTTACACACTCAGTCCATTTGTCCAACTCTGTAAACACAAAAAATGAAATAAATTTAAATTACCCTTTATTTTTCTAGAATAACTGCACACTGTAACGAAAAATTACAATTATTTATCCTAAACTGCAGCAGGCTCATAACAGTTTACATCTCTTTGTACTATATTTTATTGCTTTTGAACCATGTCTACTAAACCTGTGCAACAAATTGCTGATCTGTAAATAGCTCGTATAAAATCGATAAAATTTACACTTCAACTTAATCTAGTTCACACAATAACAGTTATTGTTCATGTAATCTGATAATGTAAATAGTGTTTCAACCATATCCCAACTGGCCTGATAGAACCCTAGTAATGGGCAAAAAACATTGTTGGCCATGAATATGGTAAAAATTGTGACCGATACATTGTTATAAATTCTTCTTTAGTTCATTCTTTAGTTCTTAGATTAAACTAGGTTGGGTATTCAGTTTAAGCCAATATAATGTGTAGTAGGGTTACCTTAATTTAAATCACTCATTAACATTCAGGGTCAGTTACCACAGTGCCAAGGAAAATGAGGGAGACAACTCCAACTCGAATAAAATTGTACAATTTAAAAATAGTTGATGATTTTTTTGAAACTATTTGCATATTTAAACCAGAAGGAAACAGTTAATGGAAACCAGTAAAGGGCTTTATAATCATGAAACAATGTTTTAAACTAAGTGGTAATAATGAGTGTTCGTAGTATATAACTATGTATATGATTGACACGACGTTCTATATTTGGTGAACTGATTCACCTTTTGTTTGAATTTTAGTGAAATAAATTAAACAATGCTTTAACATGAATTTGAAATATAAGGTGGGGTATTGTCAGTATTGAGACTAATTTAAAAACATAAAACTTAAAAATTCTTCTATACTTAAAGTTAAAATAAAAAAAGCAAAAACGAAGCTATATATTAAATGTTATAAAGTATATAAATTATAAAACAATTACAATTTACATTGCATTTGCACAGTCGGTGCACATATTCAATTTAAAATTTGAAGCTTTGGCAATAAATTTTGGATAAATTATTTGTATTTTATATCAGTGAATCGTCGTTAAATTCTCTGATACTGACAATAAACAGCATAAGGTGTTGCCAAAATAAAAAAAACTTCCATGCAGATTACATATATGCTTTAGGCTTAATCTAAGCTTACTTCTTAGGCCTACTAAAAATAGTTAAATTTAAGAATACAAACGAAACAAAGTAACGCATACCGTTTGTTACCATAGGTTAACTTACTGCCGATATCAGCCTATCCAATACTTTTTTGATAATTTTCTAAATCTGTTTCTGGATACAGATTTATGAAATACACAAAAGAAATATCAATACGTAATCATCAGCAACTCGAATTATTCTCAACTAAACCTACCTGACCAAGCGCATGGAAAACTTAACATTAACAAAATGAACGTCATCGACCAGTTTAACCTCTAACGGCAAACACCTAACAACATAATAAAACAAAAGTAAAAGTAGAAAAGTCATGATGTCTAGAGTAATTTTATCATAATTATTAGACATTCTTTTGATTAGAAAAGTAATAAGATTTGCACCTTGAAATGTATGCAGAGCTATGCGGTAAATACTATTATAACAATTGATTGAAACTAGAAAATATGAAATTTATCAAATAAAATGGGCATATTGTCTTTGAAAATTCATTAATACTTTAAATACATTGTGAGAATTAATGAGATATCATTTAAAATATCTCGAATTTGTTTAACGCCAATGACGAGGACCCTAGGTAGCTCAGCATTAAAACTTAGGACTTATAACACTCAACATCGGGTTTCAATACCCATGATGATGGGCAGAGCACAGATAGCCCGTTTTGTAGCTTTCTGCTTAACAACAAAACAAACAAACAAGTCAGTGGCGAGTTTGGTAATCAACTTAGACAAGGCGTAATATACCCATGCCAACATTTACTAATTTCTATTTTTGTACTCAGTGTATTCATGTTGAGACCACTTATTCATTATTTTTAATGAAATTTGTTCTGAATCGATGGTAATCTAGCACTCCACGCAACGACTGTGAAGCTCACATGGTTAAGATATTTGCCCTTATTATCAAGAATTTAAACCAAAATCTTCTCCACGATATTTCAATTCCGAAATTAAATGAGTGTAGTTAGCTCTTACGTAAAATATTCTCAGAATAAAATAGATTATAAAGATCATGTTTAACAACCTATTCTTTTTCTCTGTTATTATAGAAATTTAAAACTATATCTGTTATCTCTATCTTCCTCATATTTAATGCTAACTTTTCTTAGCTTATCTTTCTGCTTTTAAAAAAATGGTCGCCTCTGTTTGTTCTCTTCATAAGCCCACTTTCAACCTAGCTATTGGGCAGAATCGCTGTAGCAAGATCACTTTAAATAAGCTAGTGAATTAAAATAATTAGAAGTGGTCTAATGGTACGAGAATTTATATACACACAGACTGTACGATTGTTTTGTGGACATCTAATCGGGACTTGCAACATACTAAATAAGATGTAACTATATGCGTTTATGTAATACACACTGTTAAATTAAATTGGTTCAGTATGTATTTAGTTACTTATAGTATTAGATATGTTTAATATAAAACATAAGTTCCTGAAATAGTAATAACTACATTGACCAAACATAATAAATATGGTACATGAAGTTTTACATATGACAATCCATTGCGCTGCTTAGTACTTCACAAAGCAGGTCTAACGTTGTCAAGTATTCTTAGGACAAGGGCCAAAAACACCACTAATAACGAGATGACATAAAGCAGCGTGGTAGTAAAGGGTTTTTGTGGTTTACTTGTCACTCATAATTAAGAACAATTATTATTAATTGCAATTTTTATTGAAGGTGTTCAGCAACTCTTCTAGTTAAAGTTATTGCATTACATAAGAAATTATGCACATAAGAAAATCACAATAGAGTAAATTTTGCTACCTTGGATTAATGCCACCTTTTTAATTGACTACTGTAAGACTTTCATGAATCTTAAGCTGGATATCGTATGGTTGAACATATTATTACATATTATTCCTTTTTGTTTTCACTCATAAATTCTTAGAAAGCTAATCATTTTATCAATATTTTTTATCAGATACTATCATTCAAATATGATGTTTATGTTTTTAATCATGGTCCATTGTTCATTGGTATACATATTGCGCATGTATACTTCTGAGTATGGATTTCTCATAGAGTAGTCAGTTAGGGCCAACTAACTGGAGATTCAAAAGGTATCATGCCATAGAGTATGGGTTTGTACAACTTTCCAAATTCTAATTGAGGTTATCAACAATACAGAGGCAATATACAAAATGTACAACAATCTATATTCACAAAACACAATAAAAGGATAACAAAATACACAGTTACAAAACAATCTAAAGTGTTTATAACGAGTGAGTAAACTAGTAATAGAACTGTGGATAAACCTAGAAAAATGAAATATTAAAATAAAACCAGCCCCTAAATTTATACTAAAATGAAACCGTGTTAACCTTAAAACAAAGAAACTACTCTTGAATACTAAAACATAATTTCACTGAGTCTCCAAGAAAACTCTAGAAAAAAAACCACGAAAAGATTCTTAAGTGCTGAAAATTTTCCCTGACTTTGAATACAAAACACAATAACAAAGCCAAATTGTTTACGCCATTTTCCTTGTACACGTGACATTCGAACATAGTGGCATGGAAGCCCTGGGGTATTACCCAATTTATTCAGACGTCTATCTCATGGCATTATAGCGAGGTAACAGAACCTGCCAAATGACAAATTAGTAGATATGAGTCGCGTGTGCACCAGGGTATAAACTGTTTATTAGAACAATTTTCTGTGTGCAAATTTAAGTGAAAGAAAAATTTCGGAAAATTTACATATTAAATATAGGGTAGCTAACACATGGTACCCACCATACATTTCCTTTCCCTTTATTTTCAAACTATATCAGCCATCTATAATTCTAAAATTACAAAAAAATAATTTAAAAACATAATTTTAAGTGTGTGTTGCTCCAGAAATCAAAATAACTAATTCTCGCCCCAATAAAACCACTTGCCTAACGATACTAACAAGTACAATAGTTACAAACAACAAGAACCATAACTTTAACATAGCTCACCTATGTAGTCTAAAACACCATGCTAGTACAGGAAAATAAACCTTTTACCAATGTAAATATACATAAAGTTCACACAATAACTAAAATAATGAATATTTAGTGTGTAGGAAAGATTGCAAAGTAGGGTGCTTGGTTAGACATGCAGATTTTACAGTGAGAGATTGAAAGTATAAGTATCTGCTAAAAGCAGCTCCCGCGCTACCATAGGCAGCTCAATGTAAGGAGTCTGGGGGCATGCTCTCCAGAGAATTGATATAAAAATATAATTTACAGTAGCTATATAAGTAAAATATGTAAAAGTGGGGGTGCTAAAGCACACCTAGTATCCCGGTTCCATGCCTCTGATATTGAATATAATTTAGAAATTATTATATGTATGTACATGAGGCCCGGCATGGCCAGGTGATTAGGTGGCTCGACTCGCAATCTACGGGTCGCGGGTTCAAATTCCTATCACACCAAACATGCTCGCCCTTTCAGCCGTGGGGGCGTTATAATGTGATGGTCAATCCCATTGTTCGTTGGTAAAAGAATAGCCCAAGGGTTGGCGGTGGGTGTGGTGACTAGCTGCCTTCCCTCTAGTCTTACACTGCTAAATTAGGGACGGCTAGTGCAGATAGCCCCCGTGTAGCTTTGCGCGAAATTCATAACATAACATAACGTGATGAATTCAAATTCGATGACGAGGAACCCACTTTGAGACTAATAATGGCTGGAGACGGCTTGAATGGGTAATGAAGAAAAACTTTAATATAAGTTT